CCCTCGCCAGATGTGTCCCTCCACCTTGGACTTCCCAGTCTCCAAAACTGTAAGAAATACATTTTTTCTTCATAGATTACCCAGTTTCAGGTATTCTGTTACAAGCAACAGAAATCAGACTAATACACCAGGTTAATGAGTAAAAACTAGTACTAACATTAACAAGCGATTGGAACTCTGAATCCACTCAAGACATTATGCTGAAGGTTCAGCACTGAAGTATCACTCACCTTGTTGTCGTCCATGACAGTGTTTAGTGATTCGATCCACATGGGGTCAATATCACCATCCAGGACTATCCATTTCGGTCCATCATGCAGAAGATTTGCTTGTTCTCGCAGAATGGATGAGAAGAGACCTATAAAATGAGAGTAAACAATCCTAACACCTAAGGGAGTAGACTGCTGTTTACTTCCAAAATAAACTGATATTATATCTCCCAGAAGCTCTTTTATTAGCTAAATAAAAGGCCCTTTTTCGTGGGCACTGTGTAACACCTCTTGAGCTGCACAATGGTTCTAGACACAGCTCTATCATTTACCAATGATCAAGTTTCACCTGTCTGGGAAGGATCCTTAACTTTCATGGCTGAGCTTTCCATATATAAAACAGAGATCATAATACCTTCCTGAAAGAACAGCTGTGGGGATTTATAGAAGGTAATGTACATAAAACTCAAAATCTACACCAAATGGAGACATGACCCTTTTTCATGAACATATGTTCAATATCCATTTTAGAACAAATGTTAATTGATTTCACCTTTCTCTAGTTCTCTATAACAATATCCAAGGGACATAATTTTACAGCTAAAGCAGTCAGAAGCGCTGTACATCTCTTTTAGAAATCTGGTCATTGGTAGTATATTAAATTATTATTACTTAACAAGATGCATATAAAGCATTTTAAATCCATGGTCCTTTTTGTCGTCATTACATATCTAAGTATTGTGTATATTACATGGTATATTTAATAGTTGCTGATTTTTAAAATTCAAGTATGTAATACTATGTTTAGCTAAACTGTTTCAATGCACGTATGTGGAGTGTTTCCTCTGTGAAGAATTCTGTTCAAAAAATAAATGACAGTATCTAGCAGAACTTGACACCATCGTTCATAAGGAAGCCAGCAACTTTTTCTAATCATCACTGATTTGAACAGCTTCCACACATTTTCAGCACAAACAGATATGGTTCTCTCCCTGCCACAGTCCTTTATAAAAAGAATCTGTGCTAAGAGAGTAAACATTGTCCCACAGACAAAGAAAAGAGCGCATACAAGATAAGAGGATGGAGAATGACAAAGTCCTACTTTAGATTGGGGCATTAGGGAAGAGTTCTCTGATGTGACGTTTGACCAGGCCTGTGATGGGAAGATGCCTGGCAAGTTCGAGAACAGCGAGGAGGCCAGAATGAATGCATTACAGTAAGTGAAAGGCACAGAACAGAAAAACAAGTCAGACATGGTGATGGGCATGGGGGGGCGGGGGGGGACCCATTCACATAGAGCTTTGTAGGCCATNCAAGATAAGAGGATGGAGAATGACAAAGTCCTACTTTAGATTGGGGCATTAGGGAAGAGTTTTCTGATGTGACGTTTGACCACGCCTGTGATGGGAAGATGCCTGGCAAGTTCGAGAACAGCAAGGAGGCCAGAATGAATGCATTACAGTAAGTGAAAGGCACAGAACAGAAAAACAAGTCAGACATGGTGATGGGCATGGGGGGGAGGGAGGGGACCCATTCACATAGAGCTTTGTAGGCCATGGAAAAAAGTTAAATTCTGAAGGAGATGGGAACCTCTAGAAATTGAGAACAGAAAAGAAACATTTTGAAACAAGCACTCTGTCTGCTGAGTAGAAAATGAACTGTAAGTTATATGTATGTATTGCAACAACACATTGACCCCACAAATACGTACAAGTGAATTATTAAAATAAATAAATAAAAATAAATAAAAAAGAAAATGAACTGCAGGGAGTCCAGTGGGAGGAGACTACTGCAGTAGCACACACAAGAGGTGATGGTGGCTTGGACTAAAGTGATACCTATGGAGAAGGTGAGAAGTACTAGAATTCAATGTCTATTTTAAAGATAAAGCCTATATGATTTGCTGTAAGGTTGGATCTAGGGTGTGAGAGGGAGACAAGCCTCAAGGGTGATGCTGAGGTTAGTGCATTTACTGAAATGGGAAGTCATAACCAATTTTAAAAAGGAATCTGCTTGTCTGCAAATACTTTCAGGACAGAAAAATTGACCTTTGTCCCTGGCATCTAGCATAGCACCTGCCTGAACCTCAGTGACTTATATCAGGTACTTTTAAAATGTTTGCTGAGACATGTTGCTATCTCTCCTGGCTTACAGGGACCCCCGACATAATTGATGTAGAAGAAAATACACAGCTCTGAGCACAAATCTACTGAATGCAAATCAAGCACTTATTCAAATCTAGTTTTAATTTATACATTATAAATGATGTTGTGATTTGCTATATTTTCAATGACACCAACACATAAACAGTAAATCTGGGACTATGACTAAAATTGGCTTGTACTGAGAAATGGCTTTCTGGATTAAAAAAAAAATTTTTTTAGCACTTCAAAAGGGAAAATACTACTTACCATCTTTCCATTCTCGGGTAGCATGATGTATGAAACCAAAGAGTTCATCTGTTGTCACTGCTTTAGGGTTTAAGTCATTCCAAACGGGTTTCTGTTTCATGTTAACATATGTTTGGTGCAGGGTTCTCAAAATCTGAGGGGAGGAAGGAAAGAGCCAAGAAAATTAATACCAATGCAAGCCAAATGGAAAGTAAAAGTTTCTGAAGGATTTTTCCTTATTCATGTGTGCACTAAAATTGAAAATGGGAAAAAACGCACATATGGGCATTTCTGTTACCATCTTGAAAAGTTTAATCCCCCCATCCCCAGGGAGACAGAATCAGTTCACATGATTCTTTGAACATTTAGAATAAAGAAAGTCA